GATTATATTTTAGTAATGCAATATGCGCGAATGGGATCTTTACGTGAGAACCTTTGCAAAGTTGCTCAAATGAATTGGGAGAAAAAATTAGATTTATTATCATATATTGCATTGGACCTTCAATTAATTCATTCAAATGATATTATTCATTGTGATTTACATAGCGGCAATATATTTCAGGACGATTTATATAATGCTTACATTGGTGATTTAGGATTTGCAACATCGGTTAATAAAACATTAGACACAAAATCCGACGGAATTTATGGAGCTTTACCGTATATAGCACCGGAAGTTTTACAAGGAAAACCATTCACTAAAGCATCAGATATTTATTCATTTGGAATGATTATGTGGGAGATTTCATCAGGAAATCTTGTATTTTCTGAATATAAAGATGATAAATTACCGGCAATATTAGCATTGGATATTTGTGAAGGATTGAGACCAACTATTATCAAAGGTACAGCACCATGCTATGTAAATCTTTTAAAGAAGTGTTGGGATGAAGATCCAAAAAAGCGACCATCAGCTCTAGAAATTCATGAAACTATTTTAAATTGGAAAAATCATACTCAAATTTTAACTGAATTTTTGAAATCAGATAACGAAATAGAGATTAAAAGTAATGGTTTTAATAGTGTGAACGATGATACGATTTATACTAGCAAGTTCATTAATCATATTAACCAACAATCGACTAAACACATAACAAATAAATTTATTTCTGATAATTCTGATAATAATATCTGTATCAATGATATTGAAAAAGAACTAGTATCTGTCTGTATAAGTAGGATCAACGAATCGTGACTGAATAGACTAAATTCAGCTCAGTTTAGCTCATTTTGAGAAAGTAAAAATTTGGAATTAAATGTGAGCGTGTTGGAATGTATGGAAATAGGTATATTTGACTAGTAAACTCGTTCTGCTCGAGTTATGACCGTAATGAAGCGGCGATATAATCATGCCAATATATTGCATGAGGCAATGAACTAAATAACCAAAGACACCAAAAATTTAAGCTCTTTTAAAATTTCCAGAGACCTTGTTTATTATAAAATAATTCTGTAATTTTATTATTTACTGATGTTAAAATTTGTTTTATTTTTATTGAGAGTTAGGGATATTTATATTTTAAAAATAAAATAAGAACTCTATATTCAAAAGTTTGTTTTTATAAAGTTATTCAAATTTTTAACGATAAATAATAAAATTTTTAGGGTAGAAAGAAGGAAAATTTTGATGATAATTTTTGGATGTTTAAATTAATAATTTTAGATTTTGAACTTCTAAAGGTGAATAACTTTAAACCTCAGCCAAATTATAATACTCTATTTAAGCCTAAAAACAGTATCTATTCGTCAGGAGATAAGTTTTTCTAAGAAAAAAAAATCAATTTTACGTTATAGATTAGTGATTGGTGTGTTTATAGACTGAGAATTTAGCTACGTACTGTACGTACTTTAATTATATTACAGCAAAATTTGGTATCTGTATAATTGTGTACTAGGTTTATATGTCACAGTGGTTTGATTTCTGATTCAAATTGTGACTTCAAAACGAAAAAAATAATACGTAGCAATAGATTAATATATTATACTTAAGACTTATAATTTAAGTAGGTATTGCAGTATTGTAACTAATCAATGATGACGTAGCTTTTAAAGTTATGTTGCTTTATTATTTAAAAAACAAAATTTGCATATTTTGTATTGATCTGAATCGACGAATACAAAATGACTATCAGCTATTATGGCACTTATCCAAGTGTAAAGAATTACGATGGTTAATAGCTGTAAATAAATTTATTTAATATGATTCTGCTATTATTTTTGTCTCCATTTCACATGACCTTATCTTTAAATATATATATTTTTTATCTTTTTACTACCTTACACATTAACGATTATATATTTTGTAATTTTAAAAGTTAATAGCATATTCAAATATTGGATCCGCCAACCCCTCATTTTTGCAAAGTTGCTCAAATAAATTGGGAGAAAATTGGATTTATTATCATATATTGCATTGGACCTTCAATTAATTTCATTCAAATGATATCATTCATTGTGATTTACAGGAAAACCATTCACTAAAGCATCAGATATTTATTCATTTGGAATAATTATGTGGGAGATTTCATCAGGAAATCTTGTATTTTCAGAATGTAAAGATGCATTAATATTAACATTAGGTATTTGTGAAGGTTTGAGACCAACTATTTTAAATTGGAAAAGTAATATACAAATTTTATCTGAATTTTTGAAATCAGATAACGAAATGGAAATCAAAAATAATAGTGTGAATGATAATACGATTTATACTAGCAAGTTTATTAATCATATTAACCAACAATCGGCTAAACACATAGCAATTAAATTTACTTCTGATAACAATCTATGTATCAATGATATTGAAAAAGAACTAAATCTCAGTATAAGTAGGATCAATGAATCATGACTCGAGTAGACTCAATTAAACTCGATTTAGCTCATTTTTTTTTTTTTTTATCTCTTGTTGCTTAAGCAACTAGAGGCGCAGGTGGCGCTCTTTTATTAAGGAACTATAAAT